ATCCACTGCAGGAAATGTGACATCTTTATTGGCTGATGTACATTTTCTTACCTTTTGAGACGGTGTCCGTCCCTAACTCCGTAACGACGTCGGAAATGTGCGTTTACAAAGCTTATTTCTTATCCATTCTATCAAAACTGTTTAATTGTGAGATGGAATGGATCAAATGGGAACAATATATGCCCCCTTCCTACTGGCAAATGAACTGCAATCGCATTCCTAAACCTGCTGTGAGGGATATCGGCATTAGTTCGGTCTTTCCAAGTTTTTCTTAACTATTTGTCTCGGACTTTGCTTGTTGAACATGAGAAGGAATACATATATTCCTACCTATCGGACATCCGGTTGGTCGTCATGACATTCTTTTACTTTCTGCTTTTTGACATTTTAAATACCTAACATCGACATCACTGTTTTATTTTCATTTTCTTTGAGATCATACTGTGTAACGAGTCTAAAATGTTAGTTGCATCTTGATCTGGCGGATGCGTCGTAGACAGACGTCATAGCTCACAACCTATGTATGGAAGCTCTATTTTTGGAAAGGAGGTCTGCAGATTCTAAATTTAGACTACCCGGTAACGGGACAGGACATCATTAATGCTGGATGCTCAGCCTTTTGCTGCCGCCTATACTGTATAATAAGTACCTGCTTGCAGGGCTGGGCATAACTCGCTGGCATCTATCCGCCTCCTGTCGGCTCAGCTGCGGCTGAGGGGATATCATTGACCGATCTCGCCGACTCTGCAGCTAGTATACAGCGACCGCAATTATACCTTGTGTACAGTGGATCTATTTAAGATCTCCAGAGCCACCACGTGGCGCTACGGTCGGGGTAGGGCGAGTCCAAATCCCGAGGGAAGTGAGGTCACCGGTCATTGTGGGGGAAGGAGGGAGGGGGAGTGACGCGGTATCACGGCGCATGGGGCGTGCGTATAGCGCCGGGAGTGGGCCGCCCAGGGCCGCCCGCCACTGCGCCAAGGCTGAGGGGAGGGGATGATGGTTGCGGGTGCGTTCACTCCGGTATGGTGGTATCCTGTTCATGTGGAACCGGCAAGAATGCGACTGAAGGGAATCATTATCTCAAACAAACGGACAAGCCAGAGGCAGCGTCAGTTCCAGCCAAAATGTTGAACAATGATTATTGAAATCTAGGACGTATTCATAGCATGCAACTATTCAGTCGATAGTTGCATGATGCTTTTCATGATGCATGATGAGACTTTTATAAACTGTCATTTGGGTTAGAGATGTTTCATTTGGCACGTTCTGTTTTGGTTTGCTTTATCGGGTCGAAAAGAAGCAGAAAAGAAAAAAAGAGTTGAAATGGCTCCAGACAAATGACCAAAAATATTTTCTTAAAAAATGAAACTTAGTAAAACATTCGTTAGCGATAATTTTGACTTTTGGAGAGGATGTTGGGGAAAGATATTGGAGAAAGATGTCATCGTGCTTATCTGTGTTGCAGTAGAAGGAAAGGTTTTGGTTCGTGTCTAGATAAAACCAGACCCGGGAGTGGGGCTCGAACTCACGACATCGCATTCGGCTCACAGGTTACCCAACCTCAACGCTACGAGCACCTATCGGCCTGCGCAGCTTGCTCAGTGTTCCGGCTAAAGTTCGGCCAAAGTGTCTGACGTCTGTCAATGTTACGAGGCGAAACCCCAGGGTAAATGTCCGTCCCGGTAGCTCGGTCGGTAGAGCGTTGGACTCCATGACGTGCCATGTGGTGAGTGCGCACGTCCCGGTTGCAAAAGTCCGGGTTCGAAACGCGACGTGTGCTTGACGTTTTTGAGCGGCTCCTGACGGGTATGGTTGTGGTTGGTGGCAGGCCGCTGCCAGGCGAGGTCAGTGAGGGACCGGCCGTGCGCGGCTATGTGCGCACGTTAAAATTTGGACTCTTAATTCTGCAATAGACCAGGAATTGCTTGATCGGAGGGTAGAGAGCAGGGTCAACGAAACAAGCTCAGCTTAGCGGGGACTTTGTCCTTGTGATTCCTTTCTTTCAAAAGGTTTGGGCCAAATTTATATTAAAAAGGGGGAGCCGAACCAGGTTGGGCCGAGGTGAACCTGGTTGGACCGGTGTCTTACACGCAATCATGTTCAGACAAAACAATGGCTAATTTCGGGTCAAATATTTTTATTAACCAATATTATTGTTTTTGGCTTAGACGTATAATAACTTTTAGCTTTTTTAACTCCAGACTTCATGCACAAAAATGTGGCATACATCCACTTTTCCTCATCTTCTCTTAGCGACTTGATTTGACCTAAGGACCCATCTTACCAGCAAAAAAAAAAATCACCTGCGTGATAATTAGGAGGGCGTTCTACGCATGAAACGCCAGCCGGTCAAAAAACTGGCGAACGATGCGATCTTTCTATTGCTTGAATTATATTCAATGAAAATTTCAGGAGACATAAATAATCTTGATCTTTATAGCTACTGGGCGCCCGGAACATTCGCTAGCATTCCATTGCCAGCTGCATTAACAACGTCACATTTGGATTACTTTGGGTTCATCATAGTTGACAGTAGATGAGCCGGCCACAGCAAACCCATGCCTCATTATCCTTTCCTTCCAAGCAGCCAACTGCCAAGCTAACCGGCCGCCCGGCCCACCACCGCGATATGGAACAACGCTGGAGTGCGCCATTTGCCAGCGGCAGTGCCCCACTGCGCCGGGACTGTTTGACAGGTCGCCCGCACCGTGACCTCACCACCCGCCCCGCCCCCCCCCCCCCCTCCCGCCCACCTCCCCATCGGGCCCAGCTCGGTAGTGACCTCTCCTTGAATATCACATGGACTCGACTAAGGTTCAACGCCATCTAGTTTCGTCTGGAGATCCTTACAAGATCCACTGTACGCCCCTACCGCCCACACCAGGCAATGGTCGGCTCGGGAAATCAACCGGGGCTTACCTTATACCAGCGGCTCCGGTAGCATCGGCCACATGCGTATAATGCGTGTGCGCCTACCATTTCTATATAAGTTAACGGGGCCTACGTATAAAATGCTAAGTTTAATCCAGCATTAACCTTTTATAAATCTTTAAATGCCTTGCTTGATGCTGGCATAATGAGCAAACAAAACGATCATCACCATACGATTGGTCGGCAATTTAGTAAAAAAAATATAATGCAGTGAGAAATCGTAAAATATGGCCGCACTCCGCAGCCGTTTATATTTATGAAAAGTGCCTATTTGAAATCGTTTTCAGTACCTATTTACGCATGTGGTGCATTGCATCAGAACCGTCGTGTACGACATGGGACAATTCTAAAAGTCATCCTGACTGGCTGTTTTGTCTGCCCTATGGTGTCTGTGTCTGTCTGGCGTACACGCACGCATATAGTTGTGTCTGGAGTGCCGGCGCGTGTGCGTGGACTCCGTCTGCCCGGACAGACTGTTTGTCCTCCCCAAGAACAACTGCGTAGCGGCACGCACCCTGGCCGGAAGTGGGCCTCAGTCGGGGGGGGGGGGTCAGAGTGCCCCGCCCCCTCCGGTGGTGTGACACGACACGCACTTTGGACACCGAGGGGGCAGGGATGGCGTACAAAGTTCGTGCTCGGGATCCTTCTCAAAACACATGGTCTAAACAATTTTTCATCCTGTGCGGAAAAGAAGCTTTCTTTCCCAGAAACTCGCCGGTTCGTTGAATATCCCAGCCCTCCATCGCCCCTCTCATCATAATAGTAGTAGTATCCGGCGAAGTTGATCGATTTTCGGGCGGACGGCGGGCCAACGGACTCCGGACCGATTCCGACTTTGGTCCGAGCCTCTATCCGACCACGTGGAGGCGGTGGGGCCAGTTCTGTGGTGGGCAGTGCGGGCCGGCCCATCGACGCTTCGTGGAAAGAGGCGGCGCCCGGCCGAATATGAGCGGCGATACTGCTCAGGGGTGGTCGAGCACGCACTGTCGTCGATGACGGTGACGCACGGGTGCAGCCCTTATGGCCAGACGTTACGTCACTCGTCTGGGGGTGAGGGAAATCAAGTGGTCAGTGGTCATGGAGGACCTGCGTGGGCATAGGCGGCGGAACGAGGAGGGCACCGGGGCACCGTGCCCCCCTTTGATTTTGGCATTTTAACATTAGCCCTATGGGCGTTGCATGGAAAGAATGGGACCAAAAGACAGCAGTGCCCCCCCCCCCCTTAATTGAAGGTGTTCCGCCGCTACTGTGTGTGGGCTGACCTCTGTCGTGTGAACCTGAAGTAGGGCTAATGTCGGTATTACGGTCTGTTGCTGGTTGTGAGTAGTTTTCCTGGCGGCTAATCGGTGGCCAGTGACGCTCAGCGTCTGGCCAAACCTCCGACGTAATTTTCAGCAGTGCTGCGCTTCGATATGAACAGGCACACCGTTTGAGTAAATGAATACAACATCTGGCGGCAGAGGTATATGTCACCCCGGCTGACTCCCGCGCCCTCCCCATGTCAGTCGGTCGCGGACATTTTGGTCGTGCACCGTTGACCGCATGATGACCGCTCCAGACCGAGATCGGACGCCGATGTCTCCACCGCAAAGACACGAGCACACAGATTCGCCAGCCCAGAGCGTCACGAATCACTATCGTCACGAATCACATCTGTGGCCGCCGTGCGCTGTCACACGCCCGACCCAATGGCACATCTCAGGTCCTTCTCGGAAGCACCATGCAGGGCGGGCGGGCGCAGGAGCGGCATCCTGATGAGCCGCCGTTCGACCCGGTCCGCTCCCCTGTCCGATTGTCACGAATCTACCGGTGTCCCCGGCGCCGCGACGTATTTCCGAGAACGTTGGCGGCGACCCGGCCGGGGAGGACGGGTGGCGCGCCGCTGACCGACCGGTCACGTGACCGGCCAGCGACCCGGCGGTGTTGCAACGAGCGGCTCTCTTTTTCTCAGAATCGGCGACGGTTCTTGCCAGACAGCCACGCTGACGGATGTTCGCCATCTTCTTGCAGGTGTTCGGAGCGGAGCGGCGACTCGACCCTGACCTCCCGTGCTTCTGTGTCCCCAGACGTGAGCAGGCGCGCGAGGTGTACCTAGACGCCTACAAGAAGAGGGTCCTGTTCTTTTTGAACATGCACTGCGTGCCGTCCGGCCCTCCGGACACGGCCAGCGACAGCTTGAGCCCCGAGTCCATCCAGCTGCTGCGCAAGCTGATGGAGAACCAGACGGTTTCGGATAACGAAGACCTGCTGAAGCGCGCCCAGAGCTTCTACCCTACATGTGAGTAGATCCTGCCGCATGGCAACCAGGAGCTAAGCAGGGGATTTGTACACAGCGGGCGTTTTAGCCATCACGCTATCTGGCAATCAGTTTCATTTTACTGCTCGGCATTTGGTTAAATTTAGCACCACTCGCCCATGCCTGCTCCGGTCATGGTGAGCAGGGGTCGGAGCGGAGCTCTCCCTGCAGTGCCGGTGCGATCAGCCGGGGGCGGCGGCCGGGCAGCTGTGTGGCCGTGAGACGGCTCCGCTCCCCTGTGTATTCCGGCCGGCAGCTCGGCGGGACGGCTGTCTGCTGCGGCTGACCTTCCCTAGGCGCTGTCCTCCGCACCGCGCGCCCGTTTCGCCATCCTGTCTAGACACCTCTGTCACCGCGCGCCTCCACACAAATGCCAGCGGCCCGGGCCCGCGCCGTATATGCGTACTCGGCCGGCGGCGGCCCGTCAGCGGCGTCCCGACCGTGATCTATACGTCTGGGGAGCTGCCCACGGCCGCGCTGCCCATTGTGAGTTGGCCGGCCGCGGCTCGCCGCCCGGAGAGCCCGGCACGTGGTCGGCCGCCCGCCTCTGCCGGCACGGCGAGCTAGACACACGGCGACGGGCTGCGGCAGAATGTAGCTAACACATCCAGCCCAGGACTGACCGAGAGCCCCTTCTCGACAGGCGAGTTTCCGGAGGATGTCAGCTACCAGTTCCGCCAGCACCAGAACTCGATGAACATCTACTTCAACCTATCCAGCTTCCTGCTGACCCAGTCGGAGAACGTCACGATCGACATGGCGGAGCTGCGCCTGTACAGAGTGGCGCACCAGGTGAGGGCGAGAGGCGGGAGAAACGGTGCACTGCACACCACCCCAGCTCTGAGATAACTGCGCACAGAGCGGTAAATTATTGACGACCAGTTATAAAGTTATACCTTCATCGCTTTCGTTCTGGTATCGATCTGAATCCTCTTTGCTTCACAGGCTCTAATGTCTAAAATAAGGACATTTGCAGCGGTTTTAAATATATAGCGTGATCTTATGTAATTGAATATCATTCGTAACAATGCAGTTCACTGTTCCATTGTTTTCTTTTACTGGTGTAGCTGAAAGCTTCTCTTAGTAAGTTGTCGATGTTTCGCAGAAATCGTATGTTCAGTGTCGTCGTCTTCGCGCATTTAGTCTAATGACTGTGTATTCTAGACCACCGTTCAATGGCATTTGTTCTCACTTCTACTATCACACAGCAAGTACGGCCCCTGACGATTCTGACCTGTCTCTATCCCTCGTCTCTCGGCAGTCGGACTGGGAGCTCGGCCGGCGACTGAACCAGGTGGACTCTGTCCGCGTGTCCGTCTACGCACGCTCCGCCGCCATGCCTGGTGAGTTGGCTGAATCCCGCACCATACAGCGACTGACCTCGCTGGGTCATCACTTCTCTGCTGTCTCTCAAAGGTCCTTTGAAAAGTACAAAATTACATAACTATAGATATAATAAATATTTTTACATACACGTTGTGACTATAACTATTCATTATAAAGTACCGTAAGGTGGGGCTATTTGAGACAGTGGGGCTATTTGAGACAGTATTTAGAATTGTTATAAAATAAAAACTGTTTGAAATTTATGCTTCATTTTTGCTCAGGCGATTTACCGCTCGATTCCACACCTTCCTGGGCAAAAATATCACACAAAATTCAAACGCTCTTCATTTCATAGCCATTTTAAAAACTGTCTCAAATAGCCCCACTGTCTCAAATAGCCCCACTTTACGGTACGTATATAATAGACGGTTATTTGTGCGTAAATGGTGTTCTGCTTCATTGTTATAAATGCATCTCAGTGTTTTTGTCTGCGATGCCCGATTCACATTTCATCGAACGGAAGTGTTGCGTGATGAAATACTATGCCGTGTCTGGCATCCTCATCCCCCGCATTCCTTACCGAATCATCGCGCCAGGTGTCTGCATTATCTTGAGCGCTCCTTCAGAACCGGTTCCCTCGTCTGGCGTAACAGCCGGGGGCGGTCCAGGTGTGGGCCATCCCCAAACGTTACTCTGCAGACGATTACGTAATTACCGGCTATGCTGGCAGCTATCGCAATATCGCGGATGCTTTTTTCCTCCCTCATTGACATGGACCGAACGTCATCGATTGGAGATCTCCCCTCCGCCGCCGCTGCTGCCGGCCGGACCGGACCTGGCCCGTCAATGAACCATTCATCCGGGCCCGGCGGCCGCCGTAGTGCCACGGCGCGGCCCCGTGGCCGGCTGCCACACGATGAATGGTGTACGCTGCGGCCGCCCCCGCCCCCGCCCCCGCCCTGGCTCCGTCCCACGCAGCGGCGGCCGCCCACGCCCCAAAGACGCACAGGTCCGCCACTGCACCGGAGCAAAGAGCGGTGTCTGAGGCCGATCTGCCAGAGCAATCATCCCGCCACCGTGGCACGGTTATGGCACACCGACACTCCTATAGAGCGGTAATAAGGTACCGAGCCACTGCCACTCCTATAGAACGACGGTAATGTACCGAGAAAGGTCCCACGCAATCTACAGGAAGTAAAAAAGAGCGTTCTGGAAGACGGACTCTATTGAATTTTGACGTGCATGTAAGATATACCAATAAGACCAGTGACCACCGCTCACCTTTTAGCTCTCTTCACCCATCAGCCCAGCCGTCTGCCCACCCTTCCGTCTACCCCACCGATGTCCGACCGCTGTCTAACTCCCACGCTCTCTCTTACAGACGACGAGCGGCTGGTGGATTCGTTCCTGATCCCGCGCTACTCGCAACAGGAGGCCGTCACCCTGAACGTCAGCTCGGCCTTCTGGACGGCCGACCACCTGAACCTGATGCTGCGCGTCACCGTCGAGGATGTGTTTGGATCCACGCTGCGCGCCGACTCGTTCTTCGAACAAATGGACTGCAGTGGTACGTACGGCGCTGGTTTGCGGGGACGGTATGGGTGGTTAGATCAATATTCAATGAGAATAGGGAGGTGCTTTGGGGAATATAATGATCGGCATAAATGCTGTTTATGTAGCTTTCGTGACGAATGCTTCGGTGAAAGATCAAAGAACGATCTACCTTAAAAATGATTTCCTATGAATATGTGCAATGTGCATCAAAGTAAATAAAACAACGGTGTTATGTTCGTATTAATTGCTTGGGAACGCTCTGTAATATTTATTTTTGTATAATGTTATATGATATAAATTTTATACTCGTATGTTTCTTTAATTTTGCTATTATTAACGAAGGTAGCGTAAGCAAGTGCAGTGCACTGCCTCTAGACCGCAGTCCCCTGACCGTTATTTTTGTCTGCCGTCAGTGGTGAACGAGAGCCCGCTGCCCCAGCCGCTGGTTCGCCTGCTGGGCGAGCACAACATCCAGGTGAAGCCTCGCAACCTGTACCCTGTGCTGGACCTGAGCACAGAGGAGGCCGCAGACTCCCCGCCCGTCGGCGCCTTCATCCCCTCCATCGAGCCGTGCCCCGAGCCGGCGGACCTGATCGCCCACAACGGCTTCGGCGACGGCCTGGAGATGCTGCGCCGTCGCCAGCGCCGCCGCCAGCGTCACAACCGCCGGCCGCACAACCGACGTCACTCGAGCCGACGCGGAATGCGGTACAGAGGGCAGCACTGAGCAGCCGCCAGGCGGCGCCGGCGGCGGCTGAGTACAAAGTAGCGTGACTGCGTCGGCGGAGCACCGATCAAGCCAAAGTTGTGTGTGGTTGCCTGTACACGGGTAAGGTCACACTCGTGCCGCGTGGGTCACGTGGTGATGGCGGTCACCGCAGCTGACCGCAGCCGGCCGGTGTGCCACCTGCTCAGGTCAGGACAGGTCAGGTCAGGGCACGGGAGCGGCCGGCGCACGGAGTGAGCTCGCCTAGAAGGTCATGTTGTCCCCCTGTAGCCTCTGACAATGGTCTCGCGTGGCGAGACTTTGTGTTACAATGTGCACTTATTTTGCATAGTGTGACGTTCCTTTGTGCTTAAGATGTAATTCAAGGTGACATTTACTGTTATGCGTCCGCAGATGTTGTACGATATGTTTTGAACCGGGAACGGACGGGTAAATGGCGGCGGCCATTTCCAGTTACTCGGCTCCTGCGCTGGCCTCTGTCTGAGTTGAGTTGCGCGGCAGGTTTCCGCCCCTCCTCTGGCAGGCACTGGCTGGTGCCGGTCTCGGCGGGACCGGGCACCGCGCCGAAATTCATATTTGGATGCGCTGTATTATAAGTGTGTTGACCATCTCTTGTCGTTCGCCTTCATAGTTCCCTTCATATAGCCATGCTCCGTCCGGGCCGCTGGAGTGTCTCCGAGCCAGGCGACGGTGGCAGTCGGGCCTCGTCCCGGGCTGGCGGGCGAGACTGGATACCCCGAGTGCCGTGTGCTGCCCTCTGCCACGCTCTAACACTGTGCTCGCTCCGCGCAGTGGACAGCAGCTCGCTCCCCTCGCGCGTTCTTCCCTCCGTTACCAATGTCGCCCTGTGTGTGCTGCGTCCTATTTGCTTTGTATAGTAGATCTCACCGTTCCTGCAGCCGTATGAAATATGATCGACATTTGTGAATAATTTTGCCGAGACGAATGTGTCCAAGCACCGGGCTGTCTTACTAATAAGTATGCTGTAGATGTGAAAGTGTTGTGCATTGGTACACTTTGATGGAAATATATTATATATGTAATCGCAGATGGCGTCTGGTGAAGTGCAACATTTGTCAGAGATCAACCACTTACACCACTGATTGAAGTGATTCGAGATTGAAGATATCCTGTCCCCTGCCCCAGCCAGCAATTTTACTCCGGGCCCAAGCAGGCTAAAGTGCGGCTTGCCCGAGATTTTAGTCGGGCTAAAGTCGGCTAGGGCTTGGGCTAAAGTCGGCGTATGACACAAAAACGCCGACTAAAGCCCATGCTCCGCCGGAGGTATGCCCACTCTGCGAGCTCCGGACAGCCGTAGCTTAGCCCTAGTTGTGCGACGATTGGCGGTAGCCCGATGTAAGCCCGAGCAAAACGTGACTGGCGCAGAAATGCGCATGCGTGAACAGCCGATCAAGTATGGCTCAACTCCGGCTTTACTCCAGTTAGCCAAAGGAGACAACCAGCTTGATCAGCCCGCGCTCCGCCCAAGTTGAGCCTGCTTTGATTGCGCGGGCGGATGTCGGGCTGAGCTGCAGCTGGCCACACTCGGGCATAGCTGCGGCATGCCCAAGCTCAGCCCAAGTAAAAAATGCGTTGGTTTTGATCGAAGTGGGCAAACCCAAGCTAAGCCCAAGCTGCCCGACGTTTGCCATAGTTTAGCCCAAGCGAATTGCTGGCTGGGGCGCGGGCTGCGCAGATCAGATCATCAGATCACATACCACAAGGGAGTACGGACTACCACAGTTGAGTCCACAACAATGTTTTGGCAGTGAACCTTACAGTGGCGGATCCAGGGGGGAGGCAATATGGGCATTTGCCCCCCCCCCCCCCCCAAACGGCATAATCTTAACATTACGCCTATGGACGAGGCATGGAAAGAATCGATAAATTGTTATGGTTTGCTCCCCCCAAAACTCTGAGCTGGATCCGCCTCTGGAATGTTACTTATTTATAAAAAATATGGCCGTAAAAATGTAGTTTCCATCCATACCTTATTCTTTAAAAATGACGTCATATTTCCAAAATCACCAAAAGGTCGCCTTCGTGTCGCTTTCGACAATTATATCAACCTTGAGTTTTGACAATTACATGTGCGCCACGTCCGCCTCACGTTTGGTAAACATTGCATGGCTCGAATAATGTTAGGAATCACCGGTAGGGTGGAAATTATCGTGAATATTTTTTTTTTAAATAATTTTAATCCCAATGCATTGTTGTCCACCGTCATAATAAGACTTGTCACTTTTTAGATAACGTTGGATCAGTCCAAAATCAAATATTTCACAGCCTCAGCCGCCTCGCAATCAAAGGCCAAGGCAGGTAAGTCATCAAAATGACTAGATACGACTAGATATAGCCAATATCAATATAATATTGGCAATAGGCATGCACTTTTGGTGTGAGGAACTGCAATAAAAGTTAATTTTGCATTGTTCCCTGGCTCATGGCTGACCCTATTGTGTCTCCGACTCTTCCATTATATATCTTTTTTAGACATTGATGCACCTGCAGTTCACCTTCACTTACCTTGGTACCTATGTATGTAAGTACCACGTCGGAGAATGAGGCGGGGCCTGCACTACAATATTACAAATCTGCATCTCGCCGCAGATCAATATAGATCTGCAGTCTGCACTGCACTGGGCTCTGGCCGAAGTGCTGCTGCACCACAGTTGGGGAAACTACGAGGATCCAAACAAAAATTGGATTAGCCAATCAGCGTCTGGAGTGGGCGGGGCGATGACCATATATGGTCATAAAATCAGACAACTTCATCTTTTCAATGAATTTTAGCATTCAAATGAAAAAATAAGGCATAAGGATGTTTTTTAACCACACAAGGCCTACACTCACCCGGTGCATAATTAATTGGCGGCTCTAAATCGCAGAGTTACAAAGCAAGGTCAAACCGTGATTGGCAAATATGGCGGATTGAAACACACGCGCCAAAAAATGTAAGCGGTACCGTGGTTTAACCCTATTCCTGGCGGGGGGGGGGCCTCAGGAGCCCCCCCCCTGAGGTTTTTTGGTTATTTCTCCCAAACGCGTTGAGCTAGGAAGCTCAAATTTTCTGACTTTTCCTAAAAGGCTTCTACGCAACATGTCTGAAAATTTTGAGTTGATCTGACCTCAGGTCAGGTCACCAGAGGCGGTTTGGTGACCCTACCTCAGAAAAGTTTGCAATCACGCCAGAGCTAGAGTTTTTGACCGATCAATTTCTTCTCTTCAGGGTTTAGTTAGGGTACCAGTATGTGCAATTTGTATATCTCGGAATTTTGATATCGGTGACCTAAGGTCAGGTCAATTTCGCGACCTCCCCATTATAAGTCAATGGGGGAAAAATCAACTCCCTGTTTTTACCACTAAAACGGGTCGGAATGGCCCCATATACCATACATGACTTCATATACGATCAACCTTCACTACCTTGAGGTCTGTTTTGCTGTTGGGCAGCTGTGAGGTCATGTGACGTCATCAAAGGTCACCAAAGGTTTTTGGCCAATAACTCCGTACAGGAACAAGATACAGACGCGTGGATGGTCTCATTGTGTTCAGCTCGTCAAGACGCATCGAATGATATACATGATGACCTCGAGGTCACGTGACCTGAGGTCAACCTTTGACCTTGACCTTTCGAGGTCAACATATATATCATTCGATGCGGATTGACGAGAGGATCACGATGATGCCCTTAGTTTGTTCCTATCTTGACTAATTCGAAAGTTATTCGAGAAAAACTCTCTCCATATCTAGCGCCGCCATTTTGACTTTTTCGACCTCTGTGACGTCATCTTTGACCTGACCTGAAAATGACCTTTGTAAAAATTGTAGATCTTGGCCGTGCGTATCCGATGCCGTTTACCGCTTGTCGCTATCTTGCTTCGTTCTCGAGATCTCAGGGGGGGGGGCCGAATCGGCCCCCCCCCCCGCCAGTTTCTTGTCCCGGCGGAGCCCGCCAGGAATAGGGTTAAAAATGTCATTATTTTTATTAGTTTGTTTATGGTTTTTCTAATTGTAGTTAAGTTATTATTTTAGAATTAAATATTTTTGTTTATTGTAATTAAATTAAATCTTTTTAACAGTTTTCTTTCATAAAACCAATCCATTTATTGAATGGCCAGCTGATTGCGACGCCCAGAACCTGCAGAAAAGTCGTTTTCCTATCGCCATTTTCGAGTCAATTCGCCGAATTTAATCAAATCACACCAATTCCTAGTGAAAAATGGAAGCCTTTGCTCTCCAATAAGTGGACGCGATACCGCAAGTACCGGCTCGTTATACCGTTTTTCACCCTTAGTAGCGGGGGCTGCATTTATGCCCATATATGGTCATCAAAAGTCCATTTATTGACCAATCCATTTTTTGACGTTCGCCTCGTAGTTTCCCCAACTGACCAACAAGATATCAATATCAGTAGGCGGAACTATGGTCAAGCGTACCCATTTTCGGGAACGCATTTTCGTTCCCATGTTTGGGAACGATAAACCCAAATATGGGAACGCCATGTAGGCATTATTTAAAACAAGAAAAAGAACCGTTAAATGACGTCCAAAAATAGAAAACGATCGTGAACCGCCTGATATTTGTCGCAATATTGTTGGGAAAGAGTTTGATATTGTAAGGCCCATCGTAGTTTCAAATCGTTCCCCTATTTCTAAAGCAGTCCATCATCCGGGCCGCGAGCCCAAATTTGGGAACGCTCTCGTACACTGGCGCTGCAAGCGTTCCTTATTATGGGAACGGCGTACCCATAATTGGGAACGATTTCACCGACGCCTTTCAGGGGCTCTTTTCATTAACAAGCATCACATCCAACGCCGCAAATTATTGTTAACGCAACAATCATCAGATGACTTTCCGGCAAGACCGTCGCATGTTTCGCCCGGTCTTCTGCGCTTTTATTCCCGTCGATCTCGCAGCGGGCACGCCCCCCTCTGCAGGATTACGTAATTCACAACGCTCAGCGATGTTCAACAAGGTCTTCCATACCTATATCCACCGTCCGTGCCGAGGGTGGAGACATGGCAAGCACCTGTCTGTTTATCACCGATAGTTGACGAGTACAAGGAAGTACCGTAAAGTGGGGCTATTTGAAACGGATTTTACAGTTTTTGGCCTTTCCCTTCAAAACGGTTGATATTTCCTATAGCATGTAAATTGCAAAAACGTAGTTCTCTGTAACCGCTTTCAGATAGGTCAATTTTGGTTCAGCTATTAACCATAAATAAAGTTATTTTTATACTTGAAGCCTGTCTCAAATAGCCCCATAGTGTGGGGCTATTTGAGACAGTTTTGGTTGCAAGGAAATTGAAGAAAATTGGTCAAGCTAGGGATCATTCTTTTAATGCCATGCGATTGGAAATTAAATTTTGATACTTCTAGCAAAAAGCATTTCTTTCAACTACAGTTAAATAACCCTTATAATCAAACTTTTCGTTTTTCTTTGGACCTAGCATTTCGGTCTGCTAAAGAATTGCATTACTTTATGCTAGGACTGTAATAATATGATGTGATCCTAAGCTTTAAAAAGCACAGGATGATTATCTAGAACTATTTCTTAGTCAATGACAGTGAAATTTTCAAATAAAGTTGTTGTGTTTATATCTGGCGGCGTAACACACATAGGCCGAAAGTTGGTGGGGCTATTTGAGACAGTCTCGCTACTGCATTAAACGTACCGTAATGCATTAAAAAAGGGAAAGCAGTTTCCAAAATGGTTGAATGAATGATATGCATGATTGATTGTTCCATTGCACATCAACCTGTGAAGAAATAACAGAAAAAGGTCAAACGGTTTTGATTTTATACCGATTTTCCTAGATCACTGCATGTTGTATCGAATGGCCGGTTACCGCACTGCATCAAGTACGTATACTGAAGGCTCACCTAACAGTTAGTATGTATGATAAATAACCTTCAATGGTCCTTATGGTCAACCAGAGTAGACATGGGTCGATTACCGACCACGTCAGTGACTGATGAAACACATTCTATGCACATATTCATAAAGGTAACTAATGCCGTCACAAACTGGATTGTCGTATTAGGTTACAATGTGTTAATATTGCTTGCTGCTAAAAGTACCATGAACCCATAGCCGATTCACAGGTGTTCCTTAGGTCGAACGTTTGATACACCTTAGGCAGATGGCGGTAAGTCTTTAAAGGGAGATAATGAGCTTTCTTTTTTCTTTAATAAAAATTACTCGACATCTATACTATTTCTACTGTAGTTTCTATAAAATATGAAAATTTCCTAGCACATTTTCGTATGTGAAAAAGGTTTTTATTTTTGCAACGAAGAAGCAGTACTTGCAGTACTTGTAACACCCACCGAAATGCGTTGTCCTTCTTGTCCTTCTCTATAAAAAAGTCGCAGTATATGGCGCTTTTGTTTCAAACAGCGACGCTTGGGTTTTTGTTTATGTTATCGCCTTGTCGTTGCTTGGTTGTAAGGATTCTAATTTGAATTAGAGTTAATTCGGTTTAGAATTAATTAGATTCGTACATAGTGCCTACTCTTCTTTGTTTCCAAGTATTATTTTGCGCCACAAATGAACGGCATGCGCCAGAAACGCAGCCAAATCTTGCGATTGCGACTACGAAATTCATTATTTTGGCCTCAGAGCCTGAAGCGAAAAATACAAGCATATTTATTTCAAAAAGACTTCAGGTTTGTCGAACGGTGTTATGAGAATTTTGATAACAGTACTGCATAAGTTTTTCAGTGATGCCGCAAAAGTGTTGTATCTATCTTCTTTTATTGTGCAGTCGGCGGGACCGATTCAAAATTGAGTCGTTGCTACTAAAATAGCAGCATATGGCCTCAGATGATGAACAGGAAAAATAGTTGCGTAAATTTAGACATAAACCACCCCCAAACCATGAATATCTTTTGAAGGCACTATAGACGACCATTAACTAACTAGATGTGATGAAGATCAAATGTAAGGAATACGCTCATTTTACAAAATTACATGCAAGTACCAAAAAGTGATGTAAGTACTTATTCAACGGTCATTTTCAGCGCTCCCCGCTAACGTGACTTCAAGTTGAGATATTTGCGGCAAGGTACCGCATTGAGCAAAATGGTTTTAATTTACATTATAACTTGTTGTGTTTTGTCAGAAAATGATCCTAACTCAGATTTTGTGGAAAAAGGTCATTATCTCCCTTTAAGATGCATCATATCACCTGTGTTTAGGGCCTTGGCTTCACAATCATCAGCTGTATTTGGCATGCGTTGAGGTTTGACGAGGTGGGTATCATCGGGATTCTGAGACATCGGGTTACATAATTGTCACTACCGCTAACAATATA